CTCCAATAGTCTCTTTGACTTTCTTCATCAAAACCATCACTACGCATCCGGCTATAAGAGAAAACAGGAGAACTTTTAGGTTTAGAAGCAATCTTTGAGGTTACTTTTTGGAACGTTATGCACAAAATTCAATGAACAAGCTAAAGGGAGAACAAAACAACCTGATACTTAATGTTAAAAAAAAATCATGTGAAAAAAATTGATCTGTTCCTCTCTATAAGTCTGTGTAGTTGTCCAATGAAAACCTGACCATTACTACCCATCCTATTGCAGAGTATAGACAAAATGACTTCTGGACTGTGGCATGCTGTGGCTCACTGATTCTCAACTAGGAGGGCATGCAAAGAAGGAAAGAGAGCATCATCACAGCTGGAGCCATTTCAAACTACCCTAGAGATTTTGAAATACAATCCCTTCCCTGTAAACTAGCAACTTGCTGTAGAGAGGTCATAGTAACAGTGGGAGCAAAGCCTAACCCATGAGTATGCTGGGGTGTGAGAACCACTGATCCAGTTTGTGCTTATAATGTCCACTAACTGGTCACTAAGCCAGCTCATCAGTTATCAAAAATGTTTAAGGGCCTCCTATGTGCCAGACACTGTTCTAACTGCTGGGAATAGAATAGCAAATGAGATAATCAGAATCCCTGCCCCTAAAGAGATTATGTTTTAAAGATTTATTCACCATGACAGGCATTAATAGTCCACTCTAAAAGAATAATATTTTGTTCCTGGAAACGCCACTTGGAATTGAACAACCAATACAAAACAAATCATTATCTTCACTAATATACTTCTAAATTCTCAAAGGACCATCTTTTCAGAAAACAGACTGAAAAGATATTTATTTTTGTGTTGAGACTCTGCCTTCTTTACCGTGGATACCAAGAATACTTTCTTGTCTGAAACCCTTCACACACAGCCAGTCACACCCCAAAGTCCACATACTCTGCAGGCACACTCACTCTCCTTAAATATCTTAACTATTAACTATTTCCCTGGGTGGCTTTAGAAATCAGCATTATTACTTTATAGTCATTTTTCATACACACAGCTCTAAACTAACAGGCATATGAGGCTCAAGAGATGTCCCCAATACTCAGACGTTCCTATACCTCCACAGGTAAGATAACAAAGCCTGCATAATCCTTCATATTCAGATGCAAATTATTAAGAAGGTAATATGAAAGGCCGTGTGACTTGGCGAAGATAGTAAGTAGATGGGGTAAAAAAAAGGCTGAGAGAGAGAATGAAAGACTAATAGGGGAAGGGAGTGAATGATCAGCTAAGTGACCATAAGATACCAATAGAAAATCTTGAGTTAAAAGCCATCAGGCTAAGTCAGAATTCACAGAATCCTAGATGTTTAGAATTGTTCAAGGCAGAATTTTTAAATTCTCCATTGCAAACAAGTACAAAGAATGAGGCCATATGCATCATAGCCATTACCTTTATGCTTGGGTCTAGATTTATGAAAGAGAGGTGGCTTAAGGACTCACTGAACTGAATTCATCTATCTTAAGCACACCGAAGTGTTTTTAAACAAAAGGTAATGACTCTGACTAAGATGAGAATTATTATGGTTCTCAGAGCTGCAACTTCACCTTGAACTGCTGGGTAACATTTTCCTTTTGGTCCCCTGGTAAGCATCTTCCATCTGCTTCTCCAGTTCTCTTATTTTCCACATATCTGATTCCTCCTGAATCTAGATTTTTTTAAAAGGAAAGAAATAAAAATAATTTAACAAAAATAACACTTTACATCACAGAAAAGTAATTGAAAATATGGTCTGCACTAATTATTGGATTACAGACTGGGTTACAATCAGGAACGTGGGAAGCAAATTCTGGTTTCTCTAGAGTGGTTAAACAATCTGACGCAGTAAATCTCAAATATGTAGAATTCTGCAGCAACAGAACTTTTTAACCCCTGCATAGACACACTTACTACCTTATAAATTTTGCAGTTATGCTGCAATTAGCAAATGATAATCCTTATGTTTCTAAAATGCTTTGTGATTTTAATTGTATCACCTCAAGTGAACCTTAAGCAATCTTATGAGGAAAACAAAGCAGGTACCATTATTACATCTTATTGAGAAGAAACAAAAGCTCAGAGATTTTATCAAAGTCAAAAAGCTAGTAAGGACAGGTCTTTAAACTTTCTAGGCTAAGTCTCTTCTCACAACATTATAATTTTTGTTAAAAACAAAATAGAACAAACGAGAACTGCTAGAGAATTTCCTGAAAAGCAAATTACAATTGCCCAAAAACAAGAATACATTTTATTTCTAAGTCTTTCTGTAATGTTTTGTTAAATCTGTGGTAGATTTATCTCTTTTAGCCCCCACTTTCAAATCTACGCTCATTATCCAACCAGGGGTGGTTTAACATGATGACAGAGGCTGCTTAGGTAACAGTTATACCCTCACTCACAATCAAAATATCAGGAGATATGATAGTAATAACACTTATGATCAAACTAGGAGTTGTAGAGTTCACCAAAGAAAACCAAACAAGGATTCTGGGCCCTCTTTTCATCATATGTGCTCTCCTAGGTGACTTCATCTATTCTCATGACCTCTATCAATTCCTGTATATCAATAATCCCCAAACCTTTACATCCAGCCTCAACTTTTCTCCTTTCCTCCAAGTCTGAATTTCCAACTCTTTGGACATCCTATAAGCACCTCACCATCAACATATTCAAAACCAAACTAATTACCTTTCCCATCATACTTGTCCCTTTTCTTTTGTTCCCTATCTCAATTAATAGCATCATCATTCACCCAGTCAATATATATAACACAAGGTGTCTATATTTGATTCTATAATTATCATTATCATCCCATAAGTCACCAAGTTCTTTGGAGTCTATCTCCTAAATTCCTCATCTTCATCCCTAGTATCACTGCTTTCATGCGAACCCCTCATTATCTCTCACCTGGAACATTGTAATTACCTCCTAATTAATCTCTCTACTGTTTCACCCTTCTGATCTAACCCCTACCCAGCTAACAAATCATCTTTCTAAAATACAAATGCAATTATGTCACATCCTGCTTAAAATCATTTGATGGTTTCTTTATTGCCTAGAGGAGAAAGTCTAATCTCCAAGCATCATAATCCAACTCTAATTTAGCACTCGGGCCTCATCTTCTGTCACTATCCCCCACATTCCCTATTTTCTGGATGCACACAATTTCTTGCCATGCCCCAAGTGCTTCATGCTCTTTCTTGTTGCCATGTTAGTACATGGTGTTCTGTCTGGAATGATCTTTTACACCTGGTAAACTTGAACCTGTTCATCAATCAACTAGTCCAAATAGCAGCAGCTCAAATACCACCCATTCTGTGAAGCCTTTCCTAATTCCCCAAGGCAGATTTCATTATTTCTTCCTCAGTGCACTAAAGCACTTTGTATACGTCTCTAAGTACTTATCAAATAGTATTATAATTATCTATTTTATTCATCTTTTGTATCTCCCAACTGTACCAAAATAATGCTTGGCACACTGCATGCCCTCATTAAATGCTGAGGAAGAACTAGGTTTTACCTCTCACCTTATTGTGAGCATCTGTGTGCCGGATGACATTCCTCAGGAGGACTTTCCCCAATGGAACCCGGGACATTCTTCAATCTGAAATGAATCAATAAATAACATTTAATAATAAAAATTCCCTTTAACACCTTGTCTTTTATTACAATGCTATAAAGAAGCATAAGGTAAAGGAAAGATCACTGAACTCGAAGTCAGAGATCCTGAGGAACAGTTTTTCCTTCACCATTACAAGGGGAAAAAGCCTGACCACACTAATGTGAGGATGAAAGGAGATAATGTACACTGGAGCTCTTTGAAATTGCACAAAATTAAGTGCTTTCAAAAGCAAGTATCATTTTATTTAATCCTCAAAATAACTATATTTTATATGAAGCAAGTATCTTCATTCCTACTTTATGGATGAAATTTCCTTCAAGCCATAACTTGCTCCAGGCCACACAGCCCAAAGCAAACAAGGTCCTGATTAGAAATCAACTCTCGAATCCCAAAATTAGTTTGCGATGAAGCAAATACCTAGATTTGAGAGTGTCAGGGACCACAAATGTCAACAGTAACAAAAACCGACGCCGAAAAACATCGAATGCAGAGATGCCCTCAATTTCTCCACCTAGGGGAATTTTACTTTCTATTTTGACAGGGATATTCACGTGTGCACTAGCAGGGGCTTTGTGCAACCATCCCCCCGCTCACTCACCCCTCGATCCTGAGGAAATCAGGCATCTTGTTAGTGTGAGACGAAGAACCACTCCATTACAAGATCTCCTCCGACCCAGGAAGCCAAGGAGTCAGGGCTCAAAGGCAGCTCTGCAGCTTCACCCGAGTCCTTCGTGAAAACGCAGCCTTCCCACCGGTTATTCTGCCCTCACCCGCGGCCCAGGCCGCGGCGGCCTTTCCCCCAGCCCAGGCCGACAGCAGGTACCTCTCCGGACTGAGGCCTGAGGCTGCGCCGGCGCGGGATCCGGACGGTCGGGGCGGCTGGGGCATGCCCCGCTCACGCTCCTCTGGGACGGACCCAGGGGGTGGGTTTCGCTCCCCAGAAAGGATGGGGACGCTTTGGAAGGGTATGACCGTCCACTGGGCCCCAAGAAGTATCTAAAGTGCCTGAAGGGGGAGTTGAGTCTTCCAACTGGAAGACAGAGAAAATACCCCCATTTTTGTCACCGGGATCCCTGCTCCCCTGGGGCCACAGAGCTCCCGGTAACCTTCCCTCCACACGCCCTCCCCACACAAATACACACAAACACACCCATACCGTGCGCCGCAGCCTCGCGTGGCGGGGGTGGGGGGAGGAAGCGGTCTGGGAGGAAAGGAAGCAGGCTTCCCTTTCAGGCCGGAAGTCGTGCTCCTGAGAAATTCTTCCCACCAACAGGAGACCCAAAAAGACTCCCACAGGGAGGGTCTCCAGGACGCGCTAGAGGTCGACAGGTGCAGAAGGGAGACGGGCGCCTTCCTGAAAAAGAAGTGGGTCGGGCTCAGCTGAAAAGCAAGCTCAGCACCAGAAGAGGGAGATTCCTCCGGAACTGGATGTAAAGAGACCTTTCTGTCTGCAGCTTCCCGGACCCAATTAGAGGCTGTACCCAGCCTGGTTACCCTGGTAACAGGTGTAGCGGTTTGTCAAGGAACTGAGAGAAGAGGTGAGTTGGGCGACCTCCGGAATGGTTGTCGGTTAGTTAAGTTTCCCATTTAGTCTAATCCTAATATAGTGTTCGAAGAGCCCAGACCTCCTCTTCTTCTCGTTCTGTGGATGCTGTGGGACACCTCTCCAGTGAGGGAGGAGGGTGCGAGGGAGGTTATCTCCAGTCAGAGAGGATATTATTACTCGCATATAGTGTTGACCAGGTGTTCAGCCTCTCTATATTAGCTTACTTAATCCTCACAATAACCCTATGAGATAGGTATTATCGTCTTCATTTTGGGGACAACAAACTGAGGCACATATATAAATTATTTCTCAAGGTCACACACCTAGTAAGTGTGGAGCTACGATTGGAATCTAGGCGTTCTGGCTCTCGAGTCCATACTTTTAAATACTAAGCTGTGCTGAGGATTGAGGAAGTCTCATGTGGCCCTCACTCCACACACACCTCTGGCAATTTCAGGACTGGATAGGTACCAGTCAGCCAATGCCCAGGTACTGGAATGAGAAAATCACCAGGAAGTCCAGACTTAAAATGACTACTCTGTCCCCTCAGGGCTTGTAGAGGGTCTAGGCAGAGGTAAGGCCTTATTTGAGAGGACAACTTGAGAATTTAGGAAGCGTTACTAGATAATTAGAGAATAAGGAAAAGATAAAGTGGTGCTGAGCCCAGTTTTTTTAGACACAGGTGTTAAGGATAGCTGCTAACTTCACCCAAACAATTCCTGACATATTCCTCCTCCCCTAAAAGAAGAAATGAATCAATAGTTACAAAGACTTTTTTTCCCTTAAGTCAAGTCTTTCCACAGACGTAAGAGGCCTATTCACTGGAATCATGGAGTCATCCTCAAAGGGTCTGCTCAGCCAAGTTACTCAATTCTGGAACCTCCTAGATGATCTGGCTGAAAGTAATCCTGAGAGCTATGAGAAGTTCATTCAACAGCAATTGAAAGAGGGGAAACAGCTCTGGGCTGCCCCAGAACCACAGCTCTGTCTACAAACCAGGATCCTGGTATGTAGAGTTGGTGCCCCAGGATGGGGAATGAATGAAATGATCCTGAAATAACTGGAGAATAGCTTACCCTTAGCTATTGCTACTTTAACACAAGAAAACTTGACGGAAACTGCCACTCTAAGTGGAAACAGTAGTGTGGAAGATTGTTTTGAAGGAGTAAGAAAGGGAAATTCATGTTTGATATATTTTGGAGATCTCAAAATGAGCTATTTTTCTGCTAGAATGAAAACAAAGAGTAATGTGATGATTTAATAGAGAATCATAGAGATTTTTCAGAGAAAAATAGAGAAAAATAATAGAGATTTTTCAAATAAAGAGAATTTATTTAGTGGAGGAAGAAAAGAAGTGGTGAAACAGGGTCAAACAGATTCACCTGGAACAGCTGCTTAGATCAAGTTCCCCTTCCTCCTCCCAGTTCCTCTGGGAGCAGCCACTGGATTCTTGATAAAAAGCCAGCAGCTTTGGGGAAATCAGGTAACAGTATAATTTCTCAAACACAGTTTTAATACATGGAATGACTTACTTGGAGCCTAAAATTCTCACTCTTAAAATTCTGTGACCTTTAAGATATTTAAAAACAAAAACCTAGGTTTTGAGATATGCAAAATTATTTGCTTTCTAGAAACCAAAAGAAAAAATACTTTTTATCAACCTATGTCAGTGGAAAAGGATCCCAGCTCCCCAGTCAACCACTCATCCAGTACCTCTAAGTATTGGAAGACCAGAAGATATGTCTGAGACATCAGGTACATAGAATTATGAGAGAGAAAACACATTTAAAAATTTTTATTGGGAATAAGCATGGACCAGATTTTACTTGGTAAAAGGCATTACAAGTAAAATATTTTATTTGGTTATAATGTAGTTAATGACTAAGTGTACCTTTATGCAAATTGAATACTGTTTAATTTTTCTATTAATATGAGCTGTTTTTAACCCATATAAAATGCCACGAAATGCCCTAATTGGAATTTTGTGTATATAGCACCGTTATGATTGCCTCTGAAAAATACAGGAATAAAATTTATGCTCTCTAGCTTCATCAGGATTATGGCTTAATATATTACCTGACAATATCCTTAGTGAAACAAGTTGTCTTCATCTCACACCCTCTGAACTACACACACAGATCTTTACACAGTCATCGATGTTGCCTACAATCCTGATGTTCTCCAGGCAGCAGAAAAGGACCAAGTGAAAAAAGATCAATTAATATGGATGGCCATGAAATGCATTGAGGAGCAACTCCAATTCACTCTCTCACACTCTTACCATATTACCAAATTTAGAATAAAAGGAAGCATTGAAAGGATGAAACAAAATCTGATGGGAATCCAAACTGACCCCACAGATTTAAGAGAGAAAATGAGAAAGGGTAAGTTAATGAATGTAAACTGAAAATTAAACTGATTTAAATTTTTCTGCATCCTGTGTATATTTTGCAAACTAGAAGTCTCGATTTTAAAAGAAACTTAAGATAGAAAAATATAAAGATTAGATATTAGCATGTCCTTAAAGATTTTTAAATCCTGTATACTTTTAAACCAAATTCTTTGGTTTAAGATTCTTTTGATTTAAGATTCCCAAACTAATTTAGCTGCAGTTTTATCTGCCATCTTGGCTAACACTATTATAGGTCATAGCCTGTTAGTATTTTCTGTTGTTGATTAATTGTGTGATTTCATTTCCCCCCTTTTTTCATCAAGAACTAACCCTTGAACAGATAAGAAGTAGTACTGTGAGCAATCCAGATCACTCTCCTCAACTTTTACTGCCAAAAGACCAAGTTTCGGGCAAAACAGGGTGTCTGATAGAAGAGATTTCTAGTGCAGAGATCCAGGTGGAGATGAAGACACCAGACTATGAATTAAAAATTGTGGTGGATCAAAATGAAAAACCTCTGAAAATTGAATTAAAAGTTGAATTACCTGGTATTAATTCAGTATCTCTCTGTGACCTTCGTGTTTCTGAGGTAAGTTGAACAGATAATACTATAAATTTCTATCTGTCAGCACTCACTATATCATGCTGTAGTAACAAACTCCAGGATCTCAGTGGTTTACAGTGATTTGCTCAGGTTATATGTCAGCCAGGCTTGTTCTGCTCCACCAGTCTTGCACATTTCAAGATACAGGTCAAGGAGCAATGCCCATCTGAGAAATGCCATTAGTATGGCAGAGGGAAAATAGAAATGGCCAAACCATGCAATGGATCCTAAAATTTCCTTTCAGACATGGCATATGTCACTTTTACTTGCATTCTGTTGGCCAAAGTCAGTCACAAGGCCAAGTCCTACAAGAATATTCTTCTCACAGGTAGTCACGGGAAATTACACGGCAGGGATATATAATCATTTTACAGAAGAAAAGCAAATAATTGGCAACAATCCTACAGTCTACCACAGTCCACTCGCTTGGTCGCAAATATTTGCTTCTCTCTCCAAGGAGGACACCTCCAAGCACAGCATCAGACTCCAAAGTACAGGATTTTGCAGTCATCATCTGCATTCTGCTCCTCTTGCTCCACAACCCTATGAACTGCAAAGACAAGTTATCTACTCCCGCAACCGCATGCACAATACAATGTGGAATGGGGAGAGCACAACCATAGTTAGCAGACTCCGTTCAGAAATGGGAAAAATATGAGGCACAGCATTTACTGGGGCACAGCACTTCTGAAATCATGGTAGGCAGATATTGTGAGGGGTCCCTTTCCTGGAAGTAGATGTTCTTGCTTAGCTTCCATGACAAGGTTCCTTGATTACCTAGCCCCCTAGTTCCATTGTTTCCCATGACCTTCAGCTCCAATCTTTGGGAGGTTTTTTCCTATTTCATTATCCACCTTGGCCACATCTGAAAAGAGTGTTGGAGGATATGCCATCCTTAGGTGCTAAGCAGCTTACTCAGCCTGTTTCATGCCCATGGAATGTTGGGGTCCAAAGATTATTTTAAATTAGTTTTAGCCCAGGCTGGTAGTGTTTTATTTCTTTGATTCTAATCAGTGCTACACCCCACAATTCTTCTTTAGACATGTGCATTTTTCAATGGCCTGTCTCTTTTGACTTAATTGCTGTCATTTGGGCAAAATGTAAGGATTTACTGAGATCCACCTTAATCCAGTTAGAGGGTTTAACAATGGGTATAAAGACTTGTGATTTAGTCTTTGCCTCTAGGCTGTCTTATTCAGCCTGTGTTGATAAAAAGTAATTTTATCCTTTACTGGTTGAAAAATTAGTTCTATTTTTCAGTCCTCAGGTCTTATAATTTCTGGGCTCTTGGATCACCATCTTTCCAGTGTCCAATAAGTTTCCTTGCTGTTTGCTGGTCAGCCCCCAAGTCCATGCCACATAGTTTAGGATGGCAACACTCATCTTCTGGTACTGTATCAGTTAACTTTTGATGTATTAAGCAGCAATAACAAATAACCTCAAAATTTCAGGGATTTACATCAGCAATTTGATTGCTCATTGCAAGTCACTTAGCAATAAGTAGGATCCTCTTCTCATGGGAAAGGAGTGAATAACTGGGAAGAATAATCCAATAACAAATTTTAACCAGGAAATAGTTTCTATTTCCATCTTTTAAAATCTCTCTCGGTTTATTATTCTTAGGATGATTTATTGATTGAGGTCTCTGAGAAGTACAGATTACATGTGAATCTTCCAGAATCTGTGGATACTGAAATGACTACAGCAAAATTTATCAAAGAGAAAGCTACATTACTCGTCACGATGCCGTTGGTCTAAGTCAAGAGCATCATGTGTTTTGGGTTTTCAGTGCTCAAGTCATGTGAGTTATAGGACCTTCATTATGGGTGAAGAGATAGAGGTTTATCTTAAACACTAGTTTCATATTTTCTAAGAGTTCCTTTTGATGGAATGAGATTTCCTCATCAGCTGTTATGTTTTATCTTTTTTAACTCTCTTCTTCTCAAATAAACTTGGCATCAAGCAGAAACTACTAAAAACAGTCTTGCCATGATATACTTGTTTTGAAGATATTTGTAATGGTCTTAAGTAACTTAAATATCATTTGGGAAATTTTATGTTTCTAAGTAACGTGAGAATTTTTGGTTTGCTGGTTGAAAAAAATTTTTGTCCTTAGTAAATTTTTGTATCAGGAATAAATCGCAGACTGTGCAAGTTTTTTATTACCAAGATGGGCCATAGCAGTTCAAGTTTCCACCAGCAATAAAGATATAGGGCCAATGTAATAATATGCATACCTCTGCTTCTATGAACCTCTGTACTTGTATAACACAGTTCTGGCAGGAGTCCAAGCTACCCAGGCCAACCATTTAATATCAGATATGGAGTTGTATGTGGATTAGATACAACAATGCAGTAACAGTAATTGAATGTTATTGCACATAAGATAGAAAATATATCCAACTCTAATTTAAGAAAAAGGAGTTGACTTTGAGACAAGTGCCTTTCTCCTAAGAAAATAATTTTTAAAATACAGAAGTGATGTACTTTTCAACTCCCATACATCTAAGTCATTAAATGGTTGTTCAATACAAAGGTATCAACTTTCCAATTTATATCCCAAATAAGCAATGTTCACTTCAAACTTTAAACATCCTTTTCTTTTTTTTTTATAATTTTATTTATTTATTTCTTTTTCCCCAAAGCCCCAGCAGATAGCTGTATGTCATAGTTGCACATCCTTCTAGTTGCTGTATGTGGGACGCGACCTCAGCATGGCCGGAGAAGCAGTGCGTTGGTGCGCGCCCGGGATCCGAACCCAGGCCGCCAGCAGCGGAGCACATGCACTTAACCGCTAAGCCACGGGGCCGGCCCATGAACATCCTTTAATCATTGTTTTTAGATACAACACAGCTTCCTTGTAGTTATTCTAGTTCAACATAAGGTCTTTAAATATACTCCTCCTTAATTTTAAAACTTTTTAACTTTTGAAACTAATGTTGTATGTGTAAAAGAAATAACTGATATATGACATTTAAAAACAAATATAATTCTCTTCAACCTGCCCTGGATTTGAATTCTTTTAGCAATAGGATACTGTATCAATCAGAAAATTTTCTAGAACTGTATGATGTCCTAAAATTAACAAACCTATTATATTCTCCTCGTCCCTCAAAAACTTGGAATGCTTTCATCTTATCTATTATTCTACAAAATCACTGTCAAAACGTATTTCCTGGAAACTCCCATTCCTAACCACATAGAACTGGCTGACTCTCTACTCTTGTACACTCAGCACTTAGGTGTACTTAACGTCAGCAGCTATGGGTTTGTATACTCATGAATAAAATGCGTATCAAGATCTAACGTGCTTAAAGTTAAAATGTTAAATAATACAACCTGTTTTCCAAAATATTTTCACTTATATTTTCAATGGATTTTATGTTCATAAAGACATCTCTATCTCCCCTTCCCTACAAAAAGCAAAACTCTGCCCAAGAAAAGCATTAACTAATAATGAACTGGAGAATAGTTTAAATTTGAATCTTACCAAGGTTTTTTTCCCTCAAAACTGGAAATTTTTTGAGATGGACATTAATTATCTTTTAGAGAGATTTTTCTACTAAAACTTGGTTTTAGATCAATTATCAGTAGTGATTATATTCCCATGTATTCCACGGCTTGTGCATTATTAGGTAATGAGTATTCCTTGCAACACATTCCTGTCCTCTCTCACGCTGGTCATCTCCTCTTGTAGACCATGACTTGGGACACCATAACTTCACACACAAACCTCAGGATTGGAGTTAAATATCTAAAAGAGCCACACCCCAACATGAGGTGCTTCAGTGACTCCTTGAGATTAAATTATCCTAAACTCAGTTCTTATTTTACCAATGCTATAAACTCAAAATGTATCTGTATTAAGAGCTTACATGTACATAGCTGTCCCTGGTCTTAATCATTTAATGTGAAAAATGATTACCAACAGATCAAAAATTAGACCAGACACATTAGAAACACATAGTTTAGGGGGCCGGCCCCATGGCATAGTGGTTAAGTGCGCGCACTCCACTGCTGGCGGCCCAGGTTCGGGTCCTGGGTGCGCACAGACACACCGCTTGTCAGGCCATGCTGTGGTCGCGTCCCATATAAAGTGCAGGAATATGGGCGGCCCGGGTTCAGATCCTGGGTGCGCACAGACAAACCGCTTGTCAGGCCATGCTGTGGCGGCCTCCCATATAAAGTGGAGGAAGATGGGCACGGATGTTAGCTCAGGGCCAGTCTTCCTCAGCAAAAAGAGGAGGATTGGCATGGGTATTAGCTCAGGGCTGATCTTCCTCACACACACACAAACACACTAAATAAATAAATTAAAAAAAAAAAAAACAGTTTAATTTTTAAACAATCTAATTTCAACCAAAAACACTATTTCTAACTTTTTTCTTTCAGTTCTGGTAAGAGAAATAGACTGAATCCAGATTTAGATTATAGTTCAGATTAATTTTTAACTCAGAACAATTTTTATTAGAAGGCAACTTTTTATTTTTCTTTCAAGGGAACAATAGAGCCATAAGCATTAGCAAAGAATGAATTATCTTTGAAGTTTCATGTATCTGAACCCGATGTGGCTCATACTGATGATGGTCCCTTGTGATAAGCTTGTTCCTTCTGCATAAGCTTCAGTTCAAGCTAAAATTACTAATTACTGAAAAATCAGATTAATGTATTGAATTGTTTTCATAATAATACAGCACGGGAAATATTTGTGGAATGTATGGAGTGTCACTGGTGCACCATGTAATAATGAACATTCAGAAATAGACTCAACACTGAAAGACCTAAATTTCAGGGGATAGCTCCACATATTACATATACAAGGAAGCACTGGTCAGATTTATTTTAAATAGTCGTAAACAATACCAAGTATTTATTAAAACATATCAATTCAACAGAAAGTCTGGAATTGTGATAAGGTTCCTAATTCATTTTTATTATCCTAAACATCACCTCCTTCCTCCCCCCAGAAGAAAGGCAAATTGTTAACAAAATGGAAAAAAATATTAGGCTGATAAGGTAGCAAGCAACCTAAATAATTTTGTTCTCTCCAATAGGATTTCAGGGCTCTCTTATTTTACATGAGAGAACACTGGGGTGGAAAAACACAGAACACTTTTTTTTGTACACATTTAACATTTTTTCCTTTATCCAAGTAGACATAACCACTTTGTTTTGGTCATCATCTTTTAGCACTCCAAACTCTTCACCAATATATCTCTCCCCATCTTCTTTTCATACAGGACTTGGTGATAAATGGACTTTGGCACATACCTCACTAGAAATCATATTTTACATATGTACACTTATTCCATAGTTACTTCATATAGATTTTGAAAGTTATTTGAGTAATAAATTCTAGTAATTAAGTTTATTTGCAAGTAACCACCAGTTAATCTTGGAGGAAAAATTCTACTTTCACAACTTCTTTCAGTTAAATTCTATAAGCATATTCTTTTATTTGGAGGTAATGGTAGCATTCTGCTCTCAGAATTACACATTTAAGTTGTTTACATAAATACCCACACAAATTCTCATTTATACCAAGTAGCTGGTTTATATTTATATCTTCATTTCAAGAAGAGAAAACAACCATTTTGGGATTCATAGAAAAAGAAAGAACAGTTGATTGGAGAAGTCTAAGAAACCACTGACTTTTAAAATTTCACTTATTTTCCTTGAAGTTCTCTACCCTTCCTATCCTTGATAAACCAAAATCATGTAACAGAAAAATTTAAATTAGGGTTCAATTCTAAAATCAAGCTTCAATTCAAAAGCTTTCTCCAAGAGAACTAATTTTCCTGACTTCTCTTTCCCTCAAATCTAAGCAAAACATTTGAGGCAATTAAATTTCAAAACTTCAAGGTTTCATCCAGGTTACTTTTATGAACCTGTCTCAATAGGAAACCACAATTCTACCTCTACATTTCCCAGTGCAAGTACTTATCACTAACATCCCTTGACTAGGAGTACACAGCTTAAAATCTGGTGTTTATTAAATGTGCACAATATTTGAGTGTAATTGGCATTTAAAAAATTCAGGATTGCCCATTATAAATAACTTATCTGGACAGACTCAAAAATAACTGGTTAACTTTAAAATAAAAATACCTGTTTAATAACATATTTATATCTTGATAAGAATGAACCAATATGACCTGGGAGAGTCTAGAAATTCTTGGGTTAATTACAACAACATGGTGATAGGTTTTTCAAGGTACTTTCTAAACTCAGCAAGCCACTGGGCTCCAACTGCTCCATCCACAACCCGATGATCACAGCTGAGTGTAACAGACATCATGCTAGCCACATCAAATCTAGAAAAAGATAAAAACATTATTAGGTATTCTGAAAGTAATCACTAGATTTTAGCCAGTAACCAGCCCAAATGCGAACTCCTACCCTATAATCCCAACCAAATAACATTATTTTCCACTTATTCTCCATGTCCTGTACACCTCTAGCTCAAATTAATAGCTTGAAGAAATAGACTAAACAGCCATCTGGAGCATGGGTCAGCAAACTACAGCCCACAGGCCAAATCCCGCCAAATGCAGGTTCATTGGGATTCATTTATGTATTGCTTACACTTGCTTTCACACAACAATGGCAGAGTAATGGCAACAGAGACCAATGATCCAAAAAGCCTAAAATATTTACTATGTGGCTCTTTAATAAAAAGCATACTGACCCCTGACTTAGAGTAAATAAGGCTTCCCATCACAAACAAGATTAACTACATTTAGTAAAATAAGAATTGCTGCCCTGAGAAACTTCATTCTATATGTTCTATATGTATGTCTGACTCTACCTGAAGCTCCAATATGCCATGCCAATAATTATAACAGTGAGACTCAAACACAGGTATAATGTAATGTAAATGAGCTTACAATTCTCTCACCATTTTGGCACTTACCCTTTTTCATTATCTGCTGGAACCAGTCTTTCCTCTGAAGCACCAATTGCCAAAATACATGCTTGAGGTGGGTTAATAATAGCAGAGAAATTCTTAATTCCAAACATTCCTAAATTGGAGATTGTAAAAGTGCCACCCTTGAGGAAAAAAGATTAAAAATAGATCACGTTAATTGCTTGTCACCATAAACAAGAAAAAATGACAACTGTGAAAAGACTTTACGAGTATCTTTTACTCTAAGAAAGGCCTCTGAACTACCATAAAAAGAAAGAAAGAGAGAAAGAAAGAAAAGGAAAATGGTAAGTATATGAGGTGATGAATATGCTAATTAGCTTGTGACCATTTCACAATGTATACATATATCAAAACATTAAGTTGTACACCTTAAATATATACAGTTCCTATTTGCTAATTATATACTAATAAAGCTGAAAGGGAAAAAGAAAAAAAGAAAGGCCTGAATGGAATACACTTTACTAAAAATATACAACCTTTACAATATGAACAAAAGTCAATTGTGTGGCTTTTGCACATTAGTTAGAAAATGTCTTATTTTCAGTTTTTGATAGGTTACTCAATTTTTCTTTTCAAAACCCTGTGTCAGTGAGAATACAAGGCAGAATCAAAAGGCGTAAATGCAATAAATAATGCAGACCTTAAAAATAACATAATTCTTAACATTCAAAAGGTAAATAAATAATACCTTACCTGGAATTCATGTGGCTGTAGTTTACCCTCTCTTGCTTTGGTTGCTAAAGAAACAACATCATTAGCAATGACTTCCAGTCCTTTTATATGTGCATTAAATACAATAGGTGTGATGAGTCCTGCAGGAGTATTGACTGCAACACTGATATCAACAACATGATTTCTATTTAAAAAGAAAAAAGAAAAAGAAATGTCAATAATCATCAACAATGTTTATTAATAGAGTTTATGTGTCAAGTTAAGCAAGAATATTGATATTTACTTCAGTTTGTGCTACTGTTCAGCCAGAGAGGTATCTTTCTTGGTTTTTACATTTTGCTGGGCCCTCTCCTTGACCTGCACTTTTTAAAATGAATGAGAAACGTCTTAGCAGGTTGGTTTCACGTGTACTCTCTAATTCCCTGCCTCATCTGCCTTGACTAACACATGGGTGTAGGTGGGAAAAAAAGGCTCACAGCATTCAGTAAGAAACAAAAAGAACTCCCTGGATTTTGAGACACAGTGGACTGGCTGGAGTTGAGTCTGCAAGCAGAGCTTGAGCAGATGAAAGAAAGAGTGGAAGGAATGAACTGCATTGTGGGAGAAACAGGAGAGATCAGGATGTAGGGTGGTGGTGTCTCAGAATATAAAACTAGGATTCCTAATCTTTTCTACACCATGGGCACCTTTGCACTGGAGTCTTTTCTCAGAAAATAAATTACCAAAAAAAGAAAAAAAAACTATATTGAAATTCAGTTATCAAACTATTCATAAAACAAAACTGTGATGTATATGCTTCTGTATTAATTCAATCACAAGATCTTGCAGCAAGTCTAATAATGGCTATAATTTTGAAGTAATGATAAGCAAAACAATATATATATATTTTTTTTGGTGAGGAAGATTAGCCCTGAGCTAACATCTGTTGCCAATCCTCCTCTTTTTGCTGAGGAAGATTGACCCCGGGCTAACATCCATGCCCATCTTCTTCTACTTTATATGTGGGACGCCTGCCACAGCATGGCTTTATAAGCAGTACGCAGGTCTGCACCTGGGATCCGAAGCTGCGAACCCCGGGCCCCCGAAGTGGAGTACATGAACCCAACCACTACACCACTGGGCCTGCCCCACAAAACGATATATTTTTTTGTGTGTGAGGAAGATCAGCCCTGAGGTAACATCCATGCTAATGCTCCTCTTTTTGCTGAGGAAGACCGGCTCTGAGCTAACATCTATTGCCAATCCTTTCCTTTTTTGCCCCCAAAGCCCCATTAGATAGTTCTATGTCATAGGTGCACATCCTTCTAGTTGCTGTATGTGGGACACCGCCTCAGCAGTGGGTCGGTGCGCGCCTGGGATCCAAACCCGGGCTGCCAGGAGCGGAGCGCGTACACTTAACCGCTAAGCCACGGGGCCGGCCCCAACAATATTTTAAGACGTTTGCAACGTCTTATGTGATATCAAAATAACTTTATTGGTCACCAGCACAAGTACTGTTAACACCTCTCTGATTTCTTCTCTACATTTATAATAGGAAGAAATGCTAAATTTCAGTTAGAGGGTAGTGGAAAAGAATGATTTTTTCCCCTCATCCAAGTTCCCAAACTCCTGAATTGTATCCACTGTCTCCTTGGGGTCTGTTTAAGGGCACTGCTAAAATGTTGTGCAATCTAGAAAAAGTTAAAACTTCACATGAAGGAATAACTCCAGCTCTTTCTAGGTACAAGCTTTAGAAGATTACGGGGGGGGACTGGCCCCATGGCTCAGCGGTCAAGTGCACACGCTGCGCTACTGGCAGCCCGGGTTCAGATCCTGGGCGTGCACGACGCACCGCTTGTCCAGCCACGCTGAGGTGGCGTCCCACATACAGCAACTAGAAGGATGTGCAACTACGACATACAACTATCTACTGGGGCTTTGGGGAGAAAAAGGGAAAAAAAGGAGGAGGATTGGCAATGATGTTAGCTTAGGGCTGGTCTGCCTCAGCAAAAAGAGGATTGGCATGGATGTTAGCTCAGGGCTGATCTTCCTCAAGGAAAAAAAAAAAAGAAGAAGAAGATTACAGGTACCAAATCCCTCAGTGTGGCCAAGCCAAGCTGACCAGAGGCAGTGGGCTTTTGTCACTTGCAAACACAGGGACCTACTCTAATAATAGTGTGTGACCCTTAGCAGCTACCACAGCTATGCTCGGCCAAGGTATCACACAGCAAAAAACTGCTTTCTTAATTAAATTATCTTGTTATTACAATATTATTTAAAAATCTTCCTCCTAAGAAGGTAGAGATGGTGTTTCCAATCTTGTTCACCACTGAATCCAGCAAACAGTACATGTTCAATAAATACTCGTTGAATGGCTGTATGAACAAATGAATGAAGGGCATTTGGTAAGAATTAATGAACAATTCATAGAACTTGCCCTGCAACCTTTTTTTTTTTTTTTTAAAGTTTTTTTTTTTTTTTTTTTTTCCCCCCAAAGCCCCAGTAGATAGTTGTATGTCATAGCTGCACATCCTTCTAGTTGCTGTATGTGGGACTCGGCCTCAGGATGGACGGAGAAGTGGTGCCTCGATGCGCACCCGGGATCCGAACCCAGGCCACCAGCATTGCAGCGCGCGCACTTAACCACCAAGCCACAGGGCCGGCCCTTGCCCTGCAACCTTGATCCTTTCATCTAAGTAGTGTTTCTTCAGATATTCTTAAAAAGTTAAATATAAATTTAACCTATAACCCAGCAATTCCACTCTAAGGAATCTACCCACAAGAAATGAAAACATACGTCAACACAAAGAATTGTACACAAATGTTCATAAGAGCCCTCTAAAAGTCTATGTTTTAATCCCAGAATCCTCAGTGTGACCTTATTTAGTAAAAAGGTCTTTGCAGGTATAATTAAGATCTTGAGATGAGATCACCCTGGATTCTCTGGGTGGGCCCTAAATCAATGCCAAGTGTCCTTATGAGACAGAAGATAAGACACAAACACAGAGGAGAAGGCCATATGAAGACAGAGGCAGAGACTGGAGTTACGCAGTCACAAGCCAAAGAATGCCTGGAGTCACCAGAACTGGAAAAAGCATGGAAAGATTCTTCCCTGAAACCCACAGAGGGGGCGCAGCCCTGCTGACATCTTGATTTTGGACTTCCGGCCTTCAGAAATATGAGAGAATAAACGTTTGTTTTAAGCCACCAATTTTGTGGTAACTTGTAATGGCAACCCTTGGAAACTAATATAGTCTATAAGGAATAGTAAGACCCTCAGATGTGCTCCAAGATGGGGGTGACCAAGGAAAAAGAATCAGTAGATTACCTGATATGTCTGACAAGACTGAAAAATGGTTTAGAGTTCTCTTGGGGAGTTGCAAAAAATTCATGATAAGTACCTAGAAAAGTAGCTCCCTCTTAGGCAATCATTAAAATCAGTTAGGTTAGCATTCATGGTGTACCACATGTCGTAGTCATAAACAATATTTTCATAGGCATAAAAATATTAACACTGAATACTGATTTATCCAGAATTTGTGCTATAATCAATTTGGTAGGATGGGGGAGAAAGCGTGTGTGTAGGGAGGTACAACAAAGCTAAATCTTAACCTTCTTTAATAGGAAGTCAGTTGATGAAGTAAGACATGAAAAACCCATAAAAGGCAACACAAAAATGTTATGTAGAAATAGGAAGGTCAGGCCAGCCCAGTGGTATAGTGGTTACGTTTGCATGCTCCGCTTCAGTGGCCCAGGTTCGCAAGTTGGGATCCTGGGCACAGACCTACACACCGCTCATCAAACCATGCTGTGTGGTGTCCCACAAACAAAATAGAGGAAAACTGGCACAGATGTTAGCTCAGGGACAATCTCCCTCAAGGAAAAAGAGGAAGACTGGCAACAGATGTTAGGGGCTAATCTTCTTCACCAAAAAAAAAAAAAAAAAAAATAATATATATATATATATATATGAAGGTAAATACCTAAGAAATAATTTAAAATTTGTGTTTGCCTCTTGGGATTGGACCTCAGATTAAAGGTTGATAGGTCACTGTAAGCCATGGAGCAATATTCTAACATATATACTATTACTTTAATAAAAATTAATAATAATATAGGAGAGTCTACACAGTAGAAGAAGCCTAGGCTCAGGAGTAAGAATCCTGGTTGCAGTCACAGTTCTACTTACTAACATATTAACTCAGGGAAAGTTACTTAATTCACTGAGCCTCATTTTCTTCATCTGGAAAATGGCAGTGAAAGCACCTAACTCATAAGGTGGTCATAGGATTAAATGAGACAACACGTGAAAGACACTGAGCACCATGCCAGTCACATGCCACCATAATATTAACAAATGCTGGTTTTTGGTTTTGTTTTCAATTTTGCCCCCACCTCCCAAGTTCAGCAGAACTAAATGTGAACAAAAACCATTTCAACCCTGCTTTGTGAGAGTCATTATCAACTTAATTATACATATCTGGACACTTATCTCCCTTTCTTAAACTCATATGAAGAATTTGTACTCTTTACTAACTAAATTTAGCACTAACTCATAAATAGTTTTATGTTGTTTTCTAATTGTTGTACCTATGGAACTCATCTTCCCCTCTGTATTCCATTTCTCCTTATCCCCTATACTCCTAGTTATACATAAGATAACACAAGAAAACTGCTGATGGATATATACCTTCCCCAGCAGTGTTATACTTACTGTCTTATAACTGTGTCCAGCCAAGAAGAATTTGCTTCAGGAACTTTTAAACATGCCAAAGCTGAAGCCTTTATGATGAAATCATTGACAGAAATTTTGCTTCTCCCTTCTAACATCTGCAAAGATAAGAAACCAGTGTAGTTTCTTCAATTCTCTTTCCAAAGACTGAAACTATGTAATCTTTTTTTTTTTTTTATTTTCCCCCCAAAGCCCCAGTAGATAGTTGCATGTCATAGTTGCACATCCTTCTAGTTGCTGTATGTAGGACACGGCCTCAGCATGGCTGGAGAAGCAGTGCGTCGGCGCGAGGGAGGGATCTGAACCCGGGCCGCCAGCAGTGGAGCACGCGAGGGATCCGATCCCCAGGCCGCCAGCAGCGGAGCAGACGCACTTAACCGCTAAGCCACGGGGCCGGCCCTGAAACTATGTAATCTTGTGGGGGGGAGGAGATATACAAATATTCTGAGGTGGAAAGGATGAAATGAAACCAAAAGTTGTTTCTTTCACCTTTTTTAACTTAGGCCTTTATAGCTGTAAGTTTTCTGCTATGTACTGCTTTAGCTGCATCCCATAAGGTATGGTATGTTATGTCTTCATTTTCATTTATCACAACAAAACCAAAAGTTGGTTCTTGGAAAAGATCAACAAAATGACAAATATTTAGCTAGACTGACAAAGAAAGAGAAGACTCAAATTCCTAAAATCAGAAATGAAGTAGGGGATATTACTATCTACCTTACAAAAATAAAAAGGATTATAGGTAATACTATGAACAACCATATGCCAACAAATTAGATAACCTAGATGAAACAGACATATTCCTAGAAAGATAAGAAATACCAAAACTGAATCAAAAAGAAACAGAACCACTGAATAAGTCTATAACTAGTAAAGAGATTGAATTAGTAATTAAAAAACTACCCACATAGACAAGCCTAGACCCAGATGGCTTCCCTAGTGAATTCTATCAAACATTTAAAGAAGAATTAAAATCAGTTCTTCACAAACTCTTCCAAAAAAACAGAAGAGGAAGGAGCAGTTCCACACTCATTCTATAGGGCCAGTATTAGCCTGATACCAAAACTAGACCAAGATATCACAATTAAAAAAAAGAAAGAAAACTACAAATCAACATACAAAAATCAGTTGCATTTCTATAGACTAATAACGAACTAGCAGAAAGAGAAGTCAAGAATACAATCCTATTTACAATCGCAATAGAAAGAAAAAAACACCTAGAAATAAATTTAACCAAAGAGGTAAAAGACCTATACACTGAAAACTATAAGACATTATTGAAAGAAATCGAAGAAGACATAAAGATATGGAAAGATATTCTACGCTCATGGATTGGAAGAATAAACATAAAATGTCCATATTACCTAAAGCAACCTACAAATTCAGTGCAATCCCAATCAGAATCCTAATGACATCTTCAGAGAAATAGAACAAAGAATCCTAAAATTTATACAGAACAACAGAAGACCCTGAATAGCCAAAATAGCCAAAAGTTGGAGGTATCGCACTCCTTGAATTCAAATTATAATTCAAAGCTATAGTTATCAAAACAGCACAGTACTGGCAGAAAAACACACACACAGATCAACGGGACAGAATTGAGAGCCCAGAAATAAAACCACACATCTATGGACAGCTAGTCTTTGACAAAAAAGCCAAGAACATACAATGGGGAAAAGAAAGTCTCTTCAACAAATGGTGTTGGGAAAACTGGATAGCCACATGCAAAAAAATGAAAGTAGACCTTTGCCTTACACCATACACAAAAATTAACTCAAAATGGATTGAAGACTTGAATGTAAGACCTGAAACCATAAAATTCAGAAGAAAATATAGACAGTACACTCTTTGATATCAGATAGCAATATCTTTTCAAATACCATGTCTACTTAGGGAAGGGAAACAAAAGAAAAAATAAACAAATGGGACTACATCATACTAAAAAGCTTCTGCACAGCAAAGGAACCCATGAACAAAACAAAAAGACAACCCATCAACTGGGAGAAAATATTTGCAAATCATATATCCAACAAGTGGTTAATTTCCAAAATATATAAAGAACTCATACAATTCAACAAAAAAAAAATGAACAACCCCATCAAAAAATGGGCAGAGGATATGAACAGACATTTCTCCAAAGACGATATACAGATGGCCAACAGGCATGTGAAAAGGTGCTCAACACCACTAATTATCAGCAAACTGCAAACCAAAACTACAATGAGAAATCACCTAACACCAGTCAGAATGGCTATATTCAACAAGAAATAACAAGTGTTGGAGAGGATGTGGAGAAAAGAGAACCCCCATATACTGCTGGTGGGAATGCAAACTGGTGCAGCCACTATGGAAAACAGTCTAGAGATTTCCCAAAAAATTAAAAATAGAACTACCCTATGATCCAGCTATCCCACTACTGGGTATTTATCCAAAGAACATACAATCAACAATTCAAAGAGATGTATGCATCCCCATGTTCATTGCAACATTACTCATAATAGCCAAGATACGGAAACAACTGAAGTGCCCATCAATGGATGAATGGATAAAGAACATGTGGAACATATGCAGACAATGAAATACTACTCAGCTATAAAAAGACAAAATCATGTCATTTGTGACAACATGGACGGACCTTGAGGGTATTATGCTAAGCAAAATAAGTCAGACAGAGAAAGACAAATACCGTGTGATTTCACTCATATGTGGAAGATAAACAGATAAGGAGAACAGATTAGTGGTTATCAGAGAAGGGGGTGGGGAGGGCAAAAGGCATAAAGGGGCACATACGTATGGTGATGGATGAAAACTAGACTATTGGTGGTAAACACAATGCAGTCTATACAGAAACTGAAATATAATAACATACACCTGAAATTTACACAATGTTATAAACCAATATGACCTCAATAAAAAAATTTTAAGAGAAATTTTTTAGGGGGGCTGGCCCGGTGGCACAGCGGTTAGGTGTGCATGCTCTGCTTCGGCAGCCCAGCATTTGCAGGTTCGGATCCCAGTCGCGCACCACCGCACTGCTTGTCGAGTGATGCTGTGGTGGCGTTCCGTATAAAGCAGAGGAAGATAGGCATGGATGTTAGCCCAGGGCCAAATCTTCCTCAGCAAAAACAAAAGAGGAGGATTGGCATCGGATGTTAGCTCAGGGCTGATCTTCCTCA